TTATTATATTTTTCTTTTTTTTTTTATAAAACATGGGTCAAAGGCCTTTTGTCCAATTTCTTCATTGAACCCGGCTATCTGGCCAAATTCCCCTTAATTGATATCTAAATATCTGTATTATCCATTTTCTCCCCGGCCTTTTTCTCTATATAAATTTATTTATGCACTCAAAACGAATAAATCATTTCGAACACGAAAGGTTAAATCGAAACCTGATAGACAAGCGAAACGATCGCATGTAATTCCCCCATAACCATTGATTTTTTTACACTGTTGAATTCTATTTAAATTGCTCAATTTTTGGTTGCTATTTTATTTTATTTTATGCAACTTTTGAACAGAGTAAATAACGTGGAAAGGAAAATGATATATCTGAATTTCGGGCGTCTTGGGGTTGAAAATCATTCAAGTGACGGCCGATGGTAATTGTTTCTTCAGGTCTGCGGGAATTCATGCACCTTGATCATGGTGGATTACATGTGTGCACTTGAAATCATTATTCTGCTGTTAATTTATGGCGATTTTAGTAAGTTTACTAATGTATGTGGCAGGACATTGGCTGATCAACTGGAAGGCAACGAGGATGAATACAATAATTACCGGAGTATGGTAGTCAAATTTATTAAGGTAAATTTCTGCCTTATCGGATATTAATATAGTTTTCTTTAACGAATTATACGGTAAATTTTACAATAAATTCAACGAATCAGACGGTGTTGAATGTGTTTCCTACTTCCTAGTATATAAACACTGTTTCAATGGAATAGTATATCTGTAAGACTGTATGTGGGTAGTTTGGCTTGAGTTGCAATTATTTGGATAGTAGGGGTCTCGCTTGTGCTTCTCTTATTAGGAGATTTGAGGGGTTTTTGAATAATTATATTTTCAGCTCGAGAATGTAGAATTTAGATGTTAGGACTATAAGCACATATAATACAGTTTTCAAGCAGTGAAGTTGTAATCTTGTTGGAGACTGATCTAGTCTTGAAATTTTAACGTTATATTACAAATGTTATGCTTCAAGCCTCGAAGGTAAATCGGCTGATGAGGTACATTCCGCAGAATAAGCGTGAAATGTTTGAGCCCTTTATTGAAGATGAAGTGCCATTTGATAAATACTGTAAGTCCATGAGTGAGGCTGGCACTTCCGCAGGACATATGGAATTGCAAGCAGCTTCTCTTGTCGCTCGTACTAACATATGCATTCACAGAGTAATTCATTTCTCTCTCCATTAATCTTTTTCAGAATTATTTTATACAGCTCCATTATCTATGTTGACATGTCAAAAGTTTCCAAGCTTCCCTTAATATTTAAACAGAAAAGCTATCTTTCTTATTTTAGTTTACTCTGAACAATCGTCTAAGAATTTCTTAATTGACTGAGTATTTGCATTCACTTGTCTTTATAGCACATGTCACCTTGCTGGTACAAATCCAATTTTGATAAAAGTGAAGCTGGGATGATTCATCTGTAAGTACTCCTAAAACTCTAGTAGTGGATAATCGATAGGATCAATGAACAAGCATCTTTTTTTTTTTTTTTATATTTTCTCACGACGACTCTGACTTCTATGCTTTTAGCGTGTGGCTGCATCATCTGTTCTTTCATTTTCCTTCTACATTCTTTTTTGATATTGTATGATAGGTTAGATTCCACCTACTAAAGCCTGAAGTATATGAAGTGAGATTCATATTCTTATACGGACATTTGCGGTTAACCATTATGATCACCACATAAGCTGGCAGTTGATGGTTTATACAAGGGCCGGTGGTTAAATCACCATGGCAATTAATCTTGACTTTAGTGGTTGAATCAGTTATTAAGTTTTGTTAACTCATAAAAAAATTATCATATATTTACCATGGTTGGCATTATAGATTCTCTTCTTCCTCATTGGTCAATGGTAAGCCATCTCTGAAGTTAAACCGCTAAGGTTTACTGTCCATTCCTTGTGATGACTAGGAAAATGATTTGGCGTGTTTGATTTATTCTTGGAAATTTACTGGTCTTTATGAATCTTGATAACATTTATTACATTATAGGGTTCATGAAAATCTATTGAAATATTTTATGTGTTAAAGTTCTTAGAGTTCATGTTGGGAGCAAGGCTTAATATTTTTTTATAATTATTGTAACAATTATGTTAATCAACGATCATTGTTTCTATAATGTGCTAACTATGTCCATCGTTGATTATTGACATTAATTGTTCAATAGTTTCAGTATGATTTACTTCGACCATTGTGAATGGGATATCTTAGTTTACTTGGCAGAATTGAGAATTGACTAGATATGGGTTTAGAACGTGCTTTAGGCAGTTAGTTTAGATTTTACATTAATTGGAACATGGAACAATGATTTTTATATGGTGGGATTTTTATGGGAAGAATAATCAAAGAACAATGTATGAGGGAATCTGGCATTGATCTGGGGATGCTTTAGGTCAGAGAGAATACAAACCTGGCAAGATTGACCTGTGGTTATGCCCCAATTCACTTAGCACCCACCTCTTTCGATTGGTAGTGTAGTTGACACTGAGCTACTGACTTTTTTTCAAGTTTGGAATCAAGTTGGTGACAATCCTGTTTATTGCTACAGAGGAGAGACACACGGCATCATTGTTTGCTTTTGGGGGATGTTTAGTTTTCCATCATTAACTTGTCATAGGTTGCAGTTCTTATCAAATTCTGATATTCCTCAGCATATTCTGATATTTTGGGGAATGACTTTTCTGTTATTCTCAGCATATTCCTCATATGCTGTATCAAATTCTGATTATCTCAAATTATATCAAAAGTCTGATGCATATCTTTCCTGACGGCTGAACAAACAAAAGTAGCTGCGACAAAGTCTAGAAGGGAAGCTGGCGGAAGACTATTTGGGAAGAATCTATCAAAATGGTAAAGGCTGGAAGTGGATGTGAAGATTCCAGAAAGATCAAACAGGTGGTTCTCCCCATCCACAACACCACAAAATAAACAAAATAAATGAATGAAAATAAAGAAATGAAAACAACAAGAATAACCACCCAAACAAGAAGAATGGTAAAATATAATTTTGTATAAATTAGCAAAAAATCTCTTTTTTATAATGTTGATACCATTCTAGGTTTTGCTACTTGTGGGTGGTGATGTTGACTCTGCAATAGAATTTCTTTTAGCAGAACAAGGACCTGATGATCACATAGTTGACAACGACAAAATTTCTTGTTCAGTGGACACTCTTATGGTAATATCAGGTTAGTAAATGGTTTACATTCATCGGCTATGTGAATCGTGATGCTGTCTGTTATTTGTATTTTTATCCGGTCTTGTTATTGTAGATTTTCATGGAGGTATCTTTACTTGATTTATTCTTGCTTATTCTCATTGGGTGCTTAATTATATGTTTGTTCCTTCCTGACACCCAGGATTATTTACTAATGCACTTTTAGGAGAATTTCTATGGCAATAACTGCTGTGAGAGTAACTATGCATTATTTACTAATGCACTTTTAGGACTTGATTTTCAATTCAGTTTCTTTTGTTTCTCTTGACAAATGATTTATGGTGGCTTTCATATATGCCTGTTTAACATCAAGTTGATGAAATCATTGATGAGAATACCCATAAAGCATAGATAACATATGGTTGGTAATTTTTTCCACACTATTTTCCTAATAGCAATGTCCTCCCCACTATTGATTCCTAAGCTCATCAAATAGAAGAATAATGTCTTCAGTCTATTTACTTCTGCTCTGTCTTCCTTGCTTTCTGTGATGTTGGAATCTGTTCTCTTATGAGCATTTTCTGTAAATTGTTAAGCCGTAAGTGGGAGACTTCATTTGATTATGTTGAATTCCTTACAAATCATGCCTTACCGTCTTTGCTTTTGTTGGCAAAATGGCTATCCAGCTGACCATCAGGATGAGGACTGTGAACAGAACAAGTTAAAAATTGAAGACTTGGTATGCAAACAGTTTTTGCCTTGCAATGATATGGTAGACGAGAACAGCTCATAACATGATGAAAATGTTTTATCGTGTTTACACGAGATAATCAAAATTGAAGTCGGAAGTATCATGTCTTGTCATTTGTTAATTTGATCCATATTTACTTTGCCGTCTGTTTGGTTGCTGCAGAAATTTTCAGAAACAAGCCCTGTCCATATGGTTCAAAAAAGGACACAAATCTTGTTGTGGAAGAGTTTCTGCTAAATCTTCTGCGAGAATTGCAGTGTGAGCTTCTCTGCAGAATGTCTTCTTCTATGAGAACTAAATTGTTTTATTTACACATTATCAAAAATTCTAAAGATAATCTGGCTAGAGTCGGTATGAAACATGCATACTCAGGTAGAGTCGACATACCCTGTGCTTAGATGCACCTCACTGGAAAACCGAAACAGGCATCTAACAATCTATGAATCTATCAGAATTAAATTTCATCACCATGTTTGAAATCCCCTATTTAAATTCACATGAAAAAAATCTTCTTTGAAGTATTATCTTCATAAACTACATTAAGAAGATACTGCATATGAAATTTATTGTTCAGCATACGCGGTAATCTCTGCATTTTGGATCCTTGAATACTTCTTTCAGCACTGTTTCTATAAAAACAATATATATTTCCTTCCATTGGCTTTGGATTGTAAGCCAAAAGAAACAGACGACCCGTGCTAATTTTTGAGTTGGATTTTGAGACTTTTGAAAACTTTGAAAGTTACTAATTCGACCCTAAAATCACCTAATAGGTGAATAACGCGGAATTAAACTTACCAATTAAAAGTAACAAGTCACTTTTTAATTGTTCTAAATGTTTAGTCAATCAAGTCAATTTTATCCTATATTGAACCACAATAGTAATTAAAGCAATAAATAACACAAGATTTGTTGACGAAGATTACTCTTAATTGGATAAATACTCCGGGACCAAGCCAATAACTTTCACTGTAGACAATAAAAACTTACAGTATGATCCAGCTTAGAAAATCAACTAGGCTTGTTGATCTAATTCTTGTAATTTCCAAGACCTGTTAGAACATGTTTCACTTACTTTTGCCCCCGGTCTTCTGGAATTGTCCATTTCCCGTGGATCACCAAGAATACCTTGTTCTTGTACTTTTCCCGTGCTTCTGGTCCAACCTCACTCAATTTTCAGTAACCTCTGAAAGCTATCAAGAAAGTGTCTTCCTCACTATATTTAGGAAGTTGGTGTTTTATATTATTTGAATTCGATTTTTTTTTTCCAACTTATGGTTGATTGATCTCAAGAATCAAAAATTTAATCTCAATGTTTCTATATGTTCTTGAATCTTGGAATGATGTTATTGATACAAAATAAAAGAAAAGAAAACGTATGCAGTTTGTGAAGCTCTGTGTTATTCATTGAATGAAATAGTAGCCTATAAATAGGCAGTACATATAGAAGGAAAAAACAACTAAGTCTACCATACTAAGACACTAACCTCAACTCCTATAAATTAGGCAAAGAAAAAGCAACTTTCTTGTAACCACTAAACAAAAGACTAAAGACTCGGTCAAGCAACAACCTGCCAAAACAAATAATGGAGTTTCCAAATAGTAAGTGAATAATATTAAAATAAGTCTCTAACAGTTATGAAGATGTGATATAATGATCAACTACCCACAGAAACGTAATGGATATTGGGTATTTATAATATGAGGTATTTGGGTAGTATAGGATAGATAGAATTCTTGAAAAACGTGAAGTATGATTTCTCGAAAAACACCGTCACTCGAGCGCCATGTTAGCAATAGGTGCGTTGCTTGAGCCAAGTCGGGCGACAATGATTCTGCTTTTTCCATTCGAGCATTAGTTAGGCAACATGTTAGCGTAAATTCGACGTCTCTTTCTCCTTGTTCCATACTCAAACTCAAAGACTCGTATTTCATCTATACAACCCCTAAAAGATTCCTTAACTGTTACAACTCTTTTATTACAATCTTTTTGTCTAAATAATTGCCAATACAATGTAAGTCCTAACAAACTTCATGGTTTACTAGATGATAAGTTAAACTATTATGAAATGCATTCAGGATACATTTTCGATACTTCTCTCCATATTTTGTTCTCTTTAATTGTAATAGTTTTACTTTGACAGGAACCGACCAGTTGAGCATTATGGGAAGAGTCGCAAAGAGAGAGCAAATTGTCAACAAATGCTTTGAATTCCATTCAATTAAATGGAGGGCAGCAAATGCTTTGAATTCCATGCAATTAAATGGAGGGCCACCTGATATGGGTGCGTTTTGTATCTAATAACATTTTCAGGTATTGTGCCATTGCAGCTGATGCTCTTTGTGATTTACCATTAAGACATGGCGCAAGGAACGAGATGTAGTCTGAAATAATGGAGAGAGAGAAAAATTTAATGTAATGTAATTTAATTTAATGGAGGCCAAACAGGGCATAATATCTAGGGATTTAAGTCTCTTTAATAACTAATTGGTATCCTGATGCTTGGATTTTCTGTAGACAAATTTATTCGAAAATTGAACCCTTCACGAAGAAGGCAAGTTTTCATTATAATTGCGTTGGCTAAGTTTGTATCGAAGTAAATGTTTAAGGTAACAAGATATAATTTCTTCCGCTTATGCAGACATCATTTTGTACAAATGATTAACATCACTGGCGGACCTAGGGGTAGGTCTAGGGGCACGTCCCTCCCCCCGAATTTTGCTTTTTTTTTTTAATTTTCTATGTTTTGTTTTAATTTTCAAAATTATTATAAGATGTGAAATGAGATCGAAATATTGCATTCTTAATACCATTTCGAAGTGCTTAGTCTAGTTTTTTATGTCGTTAACGGCGTACGAAACTACCAATCGTAGCAAATGTTACGACTTGTCAAAGTAGTTGGTTTAAAATTATTATTTTGAGAATTTCGATAATATGCTAATTTTAAAAATTCTCCGACGATCGTACGGTAGTTGAATCTACACATCGCTTATTTCATCTCAAAGCTCGTTTCAAGGGCTACATTATAGGCATATCGAATAATTCAAACAAATATCGAAAATAGGTAAAAATGCGTTAAACATACGTTTTTAAAAAAGACGTCTAATTCACATTTTTTTTAAAAAAAATTAATTATTTCATTAACATTTTTTATTTTTGTGATACAAATTTCTCATTCTTAAAAAAGAGGCCTCTAACTCTCATTTTTTTAAAAAATTTAATTATTTCATTAACATTTATTATTTTTGTGATACAAATTTCTCAATATAATTTGCATTATTTTGTTAGGAAATTTATATGGGATATGACATCAAAAATTTTCGAAAAAATTTTATATTCGAAAAAATCATATTTCATATAAATTTTCGATTGTAAAATTTCTCCAAACTTTTTTAAAAGTTCGATTGTGCCCCGCTAACTATAATTGTCTGCACCCGCCCCTGATTAACATCGACAAAATATCAAATGGAAAGTCACCCTTGCTACACAATTTTATAATTTATATTAAAATAATATTATTCATAGCCAACGACGGTCAATAGTCATCATACGAGAGCTTGTTATTTTGAGGTATTAATGGATGACAAGCTAATAACAAACTATGTCTCAAATAATAAGTCGTCATATAAGATGACTACTGATAGTCGCTGATTATGAATAACATTGATCTTTATATTATCCCGCCCGTCATGATTAACCCAAATGAAAGAATAATGTTATTTGCAGTAAAAATTATCGGTAGTCTTTTTTCATGGCATTTATGTGGTATGATTTGGTGCATTAATGTGATGATTTTTTATTGACTTGTGCATTAAATTACAAATCGCCACATAAATGCTACGTAGAAAGACTATCAATAGTTTTCATTATGAATAGTATTACTCAAATGAAATATGTATGTTTGTCTTTTCTTGTTATTAGCATGCTGTTGTTTTCGAGGAAAAAGAGGACTTCCCAATTAATCTTGTTTTTCCTCTCCCCCGAACCTCCATGGTAGTTGATGCTACAATAGCCAGATGTAAACCAAAGAGAAAAATTAATTGTAATTTACTGGAAAATAATGGGCTAAACAAGGACTCATATAATCTGCATTTATTCTACTTTTTCTAGTACTTCAGTTTTCTTATACTACTTCGGCTGGCAAAAAGATTTTCGGGAACAGCCCCCTTTACACAGAGTGGATACAGAAGGACGACATGAATGTACTTATAGCATGCATACCTGCCAACACTCGATAATATAGAGAAGGAATGCTTGGCTGCAAAACTTTTGATTTTACCTTAAAATTAAAACCCTTTCACATTTTGTGCGAAAGTTGTCTGCCTGACCCCTGATACGATAGATTCATACATAATGTTGTATCTTATAAGGGACACCTAATTTTGGCAAAGTGTATTGCGTCACTCTACCCTGAAAAATGTGAAAAGTTTGGCAACAATATCAATCATTGCTGACATCAAATTTTATTGCCTAATCAGGAAAAAAGAAAGACACATTGGTAACTGGTAAGAAAATAAGAAATCAATTTTATCACTCAAAGTAATGGAATTATAGATCGACGTGACGCCATTAATACAGCAAAATCAAGACAGCGAAATGAATAATTATTTTATTGCTTAACCAAACTTTTACTCTACTATATTTGGAGAATGTTAATTTACCTAACAAAAAATAATGCCTGTTTAATCTTAGTGAATAAAGAAAACCGTTAACTGTGGACCCATCAACGTTTTGATTATGAACAAAGTTAAATTGCTTAAAAATATTTAGAATTTGATAGTTAAAAGTTAAAACCATTCGAAATCGGAAAAAATAAAATCTTTGACAGAAATAAAAATATGTGAGGTAATATAGAAAATTTACTTGTCATGAATTTTGTTTAATGTGGATGGATTTCATATATATTCATGTTCAGAAGTATATGCGACATCTTCATACTCGCATCTTTATGTTTTGAAAAATGTTTATCGTTACAAATTGACGTGTCAAAAAAAGTGGGAGAGATTTTTATTTTTATTTGATTAATGAAATTTTGATCCAATTAAATCTTGTCACATCATCCGTTGGTAAACAAATTTGTAAATAATGATATACATGTAACACAATCGTTATTTTTTATAGCTGGTAATATTCATATTCTTTTTTATGATGTAATATTTATATTTAATGGTTTAGAAAATCGTTATTTTTATGTTGATTGGCAAATCGTTGTTCGAAACTCTAACCCTTGTTTGGTCTCCATTATTTTTAAAATACATTTTTCTCTCTTATTTTTAACCACACATTCTTCAATAAAATAATATTACATCTAAATTTAGAACTTTTTCTTATTTTTTAACAACATATTCTCTATCAAAATATTATTTTAAAATACATTTTGGACAAGAAATTAGGCTAACAAAAATGATTTGGATTGAAAAAATAAAATGGTGTATTAAGGGCCTTGAAGTTTCGCCGTACTAATTATGAGGGTTTTTTTAGAACCTCTTAGTAAAAAAAAAATTACATGAAATTTTTTACTCATAAGTTATATTTTACTTATAAATAATTTTTTTTACATATAAGTGAATATTTAATTTAAAATTTTAAGTTAACATTTTTACTTATAAGTAAATTTTATACTTTTAAATAACTTTTGAATTTTTTTACTTATAAGCAACTTTTTTTATATATATTATAAGTGAATTTCATCTTATTAGTAGGATTTTTATTTTATAACAATTTTTTTACATAAAATTGATTTTTTACTTATAAGTAATTTTTAATTATAATGTAATTTTTTATCTTATAAGTATTTTTTAATTATAATATAGTTTTTTAGTTCTTATATTTTTATTTACAATTTAATTTTGAACAAAATATATTGGTTGAAATAATTATATAATAAATGGTAAAATTAGAAGAGAATATGATAAACGATCAAAACTCGTCGATTTGGTGGATTAAGAGAATAGCTCAAAATTACACTATACCGATTTTGGGTGATTTTTGAACCATCCAAAATCGGTGCCAAAAAAATATCATGCACCAATTTTTTCAACTTCTCATAAACGGTGCCATCCAAAATCGATCAAAAGTGTAAAAAAAGAAAAAAAAAAAAAAAAAACTCCCTAGCAGGCCCTAGAGAGCACGTCATGTCATTACAGACAATTGGGTGAGTGTGATGAGTATTGTCGAAAGCTTGACAGGCATTTTGTATATTATAATCGTAGTTCCTATTTCCTAAATTGGTAAGTCGTAAGCCATCTTTCTTTCCATAAGAAGGGGTCTTTTCATCTCCAACTTTGTTAGTTGGCCTAATTCTTTGAATTATTTGGATGGTTGGTTACCATTAAGCTTTAATAATCACAGTCTGCACCTTTCATAATTATTTTTCTTTATTGCGCTTAGGCCCTCCATCTAATCGACTTTGTGTTTGCATTAGTTTTGAAACTAGTAACTTAAGCATGTTTAAACTTACATATTTACTTGTATAGAAATTCATTTATAAGAATTATTTTACGCTTAGCCAAATCTACTCTCATAAATATTTACAAGATGTGATTTAAGTTGATAATTATGAGTGTAAATTTATCAAATTAGATCAATTATCGATGCCTAGTGACTCAATAATCTAGTCTAGTCTGATATCTATATAACTCGTATGATCATTTAAATAAAAATTGAAGCATAAAGAATAACATAAGTGATTTTTTTTTTTTAAAGGCAAAATGATTAATATATTTCACTCCTCCTCAAAAGTAGGCTCGGACCCAGGTTATCAACTAGATGAGTTTCACTTTTATCATTGGAGTAAAGTTTTGACTTTACATAAGAGAACTCAAAAACATGAATAGTAATTTATCAAAAATAAGTGTAAAAATAGCAAAACTTTTGAAAACTATTAGTTGGGAAGTATAAATTTGCCTATACATTTTACGTCCTCACTACACATGAGCGACTAAACTCTTCGTGCAATTCCATATGAGCAAGACTTGAAATAAAAAAAAGGGTAAATTTCACGTATAAACTTTGAAATGCAACAAATCATAAAAAGTATATTTTTCTCACATTTTTAGAAACAAACTTATTAATTAAACTTTTCTAACAAATCTTGTTCAATAAATATCAAATCTAGCTCATTCAATCGAACTTGTAACTTGCTTGATTGCAGATAAGATTTTAATAACTTCAATTTTGAAAAATTTCTTTTGACAAATGCAACTGTAAGTCCGTAACATAAATTGTCAATAGCATTTTTCTCTTCTTTGTTTGTCTTTACTTTATGGGTTAAAGGATGAGAGATAGGGAAATGGCGAAAA